CCCCCCTTATTTCGCACTGTTCTCCCTGCCCCACCCTGTCGAGACTTCTGGAATTGGAAAATTCTCTCATCCTGCCTCCCCCTAGCTCAAAGAGCAAAATGCTTTACAAAATTAAGTGAGCATTTGGGATTTTTAACTTGATTTTATCTTTTCATTCAACCAAAGGGGTATGTGTGTGGGAGATGCACTTGTCAACTAAAAGCAATTTCTCTGCCTCCTTGGGGACTGAAGTGTAATCGTTGCTCTGTCTTTCTGGTGTCAGGATGAAACTTACATTTTCCTGAGTGGTGTCAGCACACTGACAGACAGCTCCTGGGATCTAGCAAGGAGTTCTGGAAAAGAATGGGCAGGGGGTGAGAGATGTGGAGGCTGGAATCGGCTCGTCTCTCCTCCCCTAGGTGACTTTGGGCTAGTCACTTACTTTGCCTCACTTTTCTAAATCTTAAAAAATGGAAATAATTCTCTCCCATTTCTACCTCACAAAGATGGTGCCCGGACTTTGTCAGGTTTCTGTGATATGAAAATGTTTAGAATTAACAGAGCTATGGGAAAAAAGTGCTATGGAAGCAGCGTACCCCTAGAAATGCTGTTAAGTAGCTGGAAAGGAACATCAAGATTTCTCTGTATAATCCCATTTGAGAAATGAGGAAACTGAGGCCCTTCTGAGGTTCAAAGCAGTCCCCCAAAGTCCCCCATGATTTCACTGACATGTTCACCATTTGCCCAGCTAAGTCTTTCACAAATAGAAAATCAGGGAGGCAGAGTCTTGAGGTCCTGGGGCTCAGAGTCCCCTTTAGAGAGCAATTATTGTCCCTGTGCGCTCTGTGTGGACCTTCTGATAGGACTTCTTAAAAGGAGATGCTGGAAGGGAAGGTGCTAATCTGCCAATTCCTTCATGGGCCCAGAGATAAGTACTTTGTTATCTCACTCCTGAAAATGCATAGACCTTCCTAACAATCTGTAGAGCAGGGGAGTCCAAGTTTTTGGCTTCCCTGGGCCACACTGGAAGTATTGTTGAGCCATACATAAAATACACTGACTAATGATAGCTGATAAGGTAAAACAAATGACAAAAGAATCTTCTAATGTTTTAAGAAAGTTTACAAATTTGTGTTGGGCTGCATTCAAAGCTGTCCTGGGTCTCATGTGGCCCATGGGGCCGTGGGTTGGACAAGTCTGTTGTAGAGGGAGGTGGGCGGCAGGACTGAGATTCCCATTCCATAGAGGAGGAGCCTGAGGCTTATGTTGGGAAGCAGACATACATTCACTCAGCCAGTCAGCCAGTAAGTCCAACCTCACTCTTGGTATTTTAACTACCCTTTCCACTGCGCTTTCTGGCCTGATGCAAGAAACCTAACAAGTAGAAAGTTCAAACGAAATAACCAGACTGGGAAGTGCTATGTAGACATATACACAAGATTTCTTAGAAAATCCAAATGAATGACGTGTATGGAGTATGCTCATTTTAAATACACCTAGAAACCCTATGAGGAGTCAAGTTTCAAGGTTTTGTCAATTTTCCATGCTACATATTTCCCCATATACCCAAAAGAAGTAGAGTGGTGTTAAAGTGATCAGTTTCCCCATTTGGTTGCCCCAGTGTTTCTTGTGGCTAGGGTGCCACAGAATTCCCTGCAGCTAGGGTGCAATGGGAAGGTTTGCAGAGAAAGACTTCTTTCATCTACATTAGAGTTTCTCTAACCTTAGTAGGCATAAAAATCCCCATGGAATGCCTGTTAGAAATACAATTTTCTAGTCCCCATGCCAAGAAATTCTTGTTTAGTAGGACTGGGCTGGGAGCAGGGACCTGCATTGTTATACAGTATTTCAAGCGATTCTGATGCATCTGGTCTAATGGACCATACTTTGGGAAACATTGATCCACGACAAGGTTTAAGGGCCTTTAATTCTTAGAGTCCCATTTATTTCGCAATTATATGCCTGGGTATCAAGGACTTTTGGGCTTCAGGAAAAAGGTTAAGCAGGTCTGAAGCCCATCTTCTGAAAGTCAACAAGCCCTTAGAATCACTTTATCATTGTGGCTAAAGATCTCTGGGAAGACAGTGACCCAAGCTAGGAACAGGATGTTTGGCTCTTCATTGGAATTACAATAGGAGATGATTAAGAAGCAGCAAGCTGCAGAGCTCTAGGTCTTGCACTGTCAGGACAAAGAGGTCCTATGTGTCCCTCATGAGCACATACTGTGGGATGAGGGATTACAGGTACAGGCTAGGAGGTTCCTGGCTGCTCGATGGGGGCACTTGTTACGTGCCCCTGCACAGGAAGGGAATTTTGCATTTTACTCACAGGCCAACTTTCTCAGCCTTTTCTGGGTCACCAAAGCCAGCCCAAGTGCCCTGTGCCACTAGCACAATCCCAACCTAAAGGCCTCAGTCATTCCCCTATCTAGCCTAGTCCTTTATTCAGCAGAGACAAAGTTGTGGGGTTTTTTTCTATAGGTAGGATTTTCTAACTCCAGAAGATAATATACGTTTAATAAAGAAAAATTGGAGAATACTAAGATATGATAATAATAAAACAGTTAAAAATTGCCCATAATTGTATTACCTAAATACAATCATGACTAAGATTCTGGTGTGTTTCCTTTTAGCCTTTTTTTCTGTATATAAGCTTATTATTTATTTGCGCTGTTTATATTACAGTGTTTAAACATTTTGCATCCTGCCTTTTTTTCATTTAAAAGTATCATAAGCATATTTTCAGATTATCATATAAGCTTCTAAATTATACACTTAAAAATAATTGCATAATAATTCATTGAGTGAATCAACATTATTTGCATAGCTTAATATTTGGCACCTAGAGGACATTTGGTAAATATTTGTTGTATGAATTAATGGATTGATGGACAAATGCATTTCTCTGTTATGTCTATTATCTCCTTCTACCCCAGGACATTTAGTTAAGGATAAAGATTTGCAAAAGAAATGTAACACTAAGTAATTAAGTGGCAGAATAGGCAGGTCAAAAAAAAAGGAACAGGGCAGAGCTGCTAACTTAGTTACTAAATCAATTTTTTAAAGAATTCTGATCTCTATATTTCCTCTTCTCTTTTTTCCCAAAAGAGTAGATGCTTTGGTCTACCTGGAGCTTTTTCATAGCTATTAATATCCCCATTTTACAGGTGAGGAAACCAAGCTTCAGAGGGATTAAATAACCCTCCCAAGATTACATGGCTAGAACATAACATAATTGCACTTCCAATCTATGTTTGTGAGTTTCTGTAGCTTTGTTCCTTTATTACATTACACCTCTTGAGAAAAAAGGCAACAAAGAAGGATACCTGTCTTGGGTTTGTTCCTCATGTAGAGCTGCCCTGGAAGCAGAGCACTTTCTGTTTCCGAGGACCCTTGGATTGGACCAGGCAGGCAGATTTTGTGCCATGAGGGAGCCCAAAAACAGATCATTCAGTTAGAAAAAAAGGAACCCATTGAGACCATTTCAAAAGCTGGTGCTGGATAAGCTCATGGGAAGAGGTTAGGCTGAGATTTCAATATCCAGGGCCTGAAACCGGACATTTCTAGATTGTCAGGCTTGTTTGGCTTGGTTGACTAAGTATTCGTAAAGCAGAAATTGGTAAAGGAGCTGGTAAGTGTTTATTGTCTGTGATTGCTTTTAGAAAACAGATAAAATTGGAAATGATTTAGAAATTGGTACAAAGGCAGAGAGGTACCATGTTTCCCAGAAAGAAAGGAAAATGAGTGGAAGGCCTTTAAACTCTGAGGATAGCTCTGCTTCGCTAAGAATTGTACGGCAAAGTACAGGCAATTTTTCCATTTTATGCACCCCTTTTGCAGCATTAATGCTAATATCAGTGGTTAGCAAAGCAAATATAATAACTGCTCTCCCCAACGGACCCCGTGATTGAGGCTTCGACTCCTCTTGCCTGCAATTGAGCTCCTGGAAGATTTTCCATATTTCTTTCTACCTCTTCAGTAGTGTTTTGATCGACACAGCCCCATTTTCCCAGTGGAGAAAAACAAGGCACAGAGTCACGTCAGAACAGCTACCAATGGCGAATTGGGAGAGAAATTAATTTGGGCCCCTGAGCTTGAAGTAAAAAGGAATTTCGTTTAGAAACCCTTCTTGCCCAATGTGGTCCATCTCTGGTGGGTGATTCTACCCCAGGATTTGGGGGGCAGGGCTGTTTTAACACCACCCGAGGTCCCAAACACTGAACCCACTGTGGCTTGTGCCCTCATATGTATTTAAAATGTAAAAATACAAAGCCATAAAAGAAGTGTAAGAAAATCCAAAACAGTACCACCCCCCATTGAAATATCAAATATCAAATTCTTTCTAAAAATAAATGTTGGTCCCCCTCCCATATCAGTGCCCCAAGCAAAAGCATTGGCAGTGGAATCTGTAAGACGGCAGCAACTGGGGACACCCCACATTTATGCATACTTGACACTGGGTTCTTTTATCTCAGTTGATGATCAACCCCCTCCATACAAAGGTTCCCAGGCAGGAGAGCATCTCCCTCTTCCCTGCAGAATTTCTAGGACAAGGGAAATAAGATTACTCTCAGATACCGGTCTTCTTGAGCGGGCAAAAATCATTTTTCCTACTCACATTCCTGGTCCTTTAGAATGGAGCAGTGATTTAAATCAGATTTGGAGCTACTCGGGGCTAAGGCGATGCCTGCCCTAAGGGAGGGTTTAAGGATGGGCGTGGGAGGGTCCCCAAGGGCTGAGACAGGACCTCCCTTTTAGATTCAGTTATCCTGGGACACACACTGCTTCCCGTTTAGACTAGGCCTCTTGAGGGCTGAGATAACTCTCCGCTAAACCGTGGAGTTTTCTAGAGCCTGGGATACAGTCTCGCCCTCAGATCTGAGGCTCCCTGGGACAGGTGCGCAACCTCGCCTTCAAATTCCAGCCTTTGGGGACAGGCGTGCTTTTGTGTGCCGGATCAAGGGCGCCTGGGGTGGGGGTGGGGGACGGGGACCTTCCTTCCCTCTCAGATTTGGGGCTCACCAGGGCTGAGATGGCGTCTCCTCTCAGACTCTGGGCTCCCTAGGGTAGGGGCAGGGTCCCGCCCTCAGAGTCAGAGCTTCCGGGACAGGAGCTGTGAGTCTTGACCTCCCTTCGCGTGGGGCAAGGGGCTGCGGACCAGCGGCCTCTCTTCTGGCGGGGAGGGGGGGTTCCCCTGAGGCCCTGCCCCCTTTGTGACATGCTCGAGGTATCCGGTGACCAAGACACTCTTAGCTGGGTGCAGGGTGCGGCTCAGGGCGTGGTCACCCGGGGGCTACTTAGGGCGGCCGGTGCCGGACACGACGCGAAGGTTAACGCGAGCTGCCGGGCACTCAGCGCGGGTCATGGCGTGGATACTGGACTGCCTTTTCGCCTCGGCCTTTGAGCCCCGCCCCCGTCGTGGTGAGTGGGGCCCACCGAGTCGGGGGGCTGGGGTGCTCGGCCCGGGGCCGCCGGCGGCTGCAACCTCGGCCGGGCGCCCTGGGGCTTGGCTGGTCGCCCCCTTGCCTCTCTTCCTGCTGGCTTTTTAGCTAATTGTTCCTGGCTCAAGGGACTGCCCCGTCGAGGCCCCGCATAAATCACCAGCTTTGCCGGGAACCGCGAGCAATCGCGCTAATGGCTCGGCGGGACTCGGGACGAACGCGGGGGCGGAGTCGCTGGCTCAGCCGCCTGCAGGGACTGCCAGGTCCTTGGGGCCAGACGCGCAGGAGCGGCGTCCCGCAAGTCAAGGACCCTAAAGGCCCAAGATGAATGTCCCTGACGGGGCAAGCCAGGCCCCAGGGACCCTGAAGGAGGTGGGGGTTCATTTTGCCTTGAAGTTTGTCCCTTTGTCTCAATCTCAAACACAGAATATCAGCAATGGGCCCCTTAGAGTCGTCGAATTTAACCCTTTCATTTAAGAGATGATGACACTGAAGATGGGAAAAGCCTGCCCAAGGTCACCCAACAGGTTGGCAGCTTATCTGGGTCAGTTTAGGCTCTGCCAGCTGCCCACTGCCCCAGACTGCCCGGTGGTGGACACCTGGGTTCTTTAGCCGTATTCTTTCTTTGGGTACTTGAGATCAGTGCTTGGTTCCCCTATTTCTATGGAATTTAGGACATAAGTGTGCAAAGATCACAGCACCGGCCTATGTGGGTCACATTTCACCCCTTTCCTAGAACTGCTTCTACAAAGTACATTTTGACAATGGATTATATTTTCGTCTTTCAAGTTTCAGGAGACCGGTATTTTCTTTTTGACATACCCCAGGACCCCCACCCACACTGTCCTTCACTCCCCCTTGATAAGCCCTACCCCCTTCAGGCTGCCACCTGCCCCCATGGCCACCTGTTTTTCCATAGTCTCCACCTCCAATATCTATATTGGTGAGAGTGCGTCATTGGGCACCAGCCATAGACCAAACCAGGGGTTGTCTCCTCTTTCCTCTGCCCCCTCACAGTCCAGGGAGGGGAGGCAGGGAGAGGAGGAGCCTCAGAAACTTAATTCAGCAGAGACCTGTTTTTAGTTCTTGCCAGCCCGAACGCCCTGCTGAGAACCATCCCAGGAGTTTGACCTCCTGCTAACAGACCACAGCATACTTAGCCAGTTCAAGTACAGCCTCTGGCCAGCAGCAAGATCTCTGAGGAGGAAAGAGATCTGCATACACACAGAGTTTAGTTTTTTCTTTTGCATATTTTTAAGGTTTATATGATCCTGGTGAATCAAAAACATAAGGGAGTTTTATAAGATGTCTTTTGAGGCCTTACTGCTCTAATACTCTACCCTGAAAAAGGGGGTGGGGTGAACCATTTCACCCTTGCTTGGACTAGAAGGTTGTCATGTGACTCCAATGAGATCAAGGACATGAAGGCTCCTTTATGAATAAACACAGGGGAGGGAGTCCATATTACACCAGAAGCCCACTCCTATCTAAAAACAGCAATGTTCATTAGAATTAGAAAGCTTTTCCTTAAACTGAACCCAAATCTCTGTCCTAGGCACTTCTGCCTTCTGGCCCTGGCATTGACTTTCATAGTCCTCCTTCCTAAGAAATAGTGCCAGCTCTCCCCATTATCCCACCCCCTACTCAACCTGCTCTTACCTAGGTCAAACTTTCCCAGTGTCTTCATCTGTTTAACATGTGACATAGTTTCAAGGCCCCTACCCACGTCTAGCTGCTTTTCTTTGAACATACTCCAAGTTATAAATGTCCAATGGCCAGGCCAAAAGAGGCTTTCCAGCTGTGCCCCTATAAATATAGTCCTGGATGGCTGACTTTCCCTATTTTGGAAGCCTATGCCACACCCAAGGTACATACATTAGTAGTCATAAACATACCCATAACATACACATTACCACACCTATGCATGCCCACTTACAAAGCCATGAACACACACACACGCTTCACATGCATCACATACTTTCCACAAACGACACAATATACTCACATCACTCATATATGCACCATTCACAAATCCCATGCACAGCCACACAGTTTACACAAAGACTTTATTTATATTGAATTACTTTCAACTAAAGCTACTCTTTTTCCTTAAGTAAACCCAAGTTCTTTGTGGAGTCTCCATTCTGTACCTGGTGTTTGAACTCAAGTGTAAGACCTTATATTTGCTGCTGCATTTCTAGTCTGGTGGGACCTGTCTTCCAACACACTCCTGCAGCACACCACTGCCTACATCAGCTCTGTCACTCAGACAACAGCAACTGATATATATGAAGTAATTCTCAAATGCCGGGCCCTTACATGTATGATTCATTACATGTATGATCTCACTTAAGTCACAGGGCATCATTTTGAAATAAATAATCTTTGGGTAGTTTTTTGACTGGGCAAGAGCTCACTTCATTGCACTCTCCCTGAGAAATGTTGAACAACGTGAAGGGTAACTTTGTGGGTAACTATTGATATTCTATGGGGCTACAATTGCCTTGATGCCTCCCTTCTAATGTCTTTCAGAACTCTTCAGGAGTCAGAGATGGGGTTGGGGGAGGAAGCTGTCTGCTGACTGGGCAGAATTGGGGCAGTATCTAAATGTTCCTTCACCCCTGTTCTCCTTGCCAAAGAGATGGTATGTCACAGCAATTTTTTTTTTTTTTGAGGAGCAGGTTTATTTTGTCTTCATTAGAATATCATCACTCTTTTGTTCATGTTTGCTATTTTTTTGGCTCAACTCTTTTTTAAAATTTTACTTTAAGTTCTGGGATGCATGTGCAGAATGTGCACGCTTATTACATAGGCATACATGTGCCATGGTGGTTTGCATCACTGCAGTTTTTTGAGGGTGACAATGGACAATGGGCAATGGGCAACCATATGAAGGTACTTGGGAGAGGCATCACTGAGGTCTGGGAAGAATGGGGGCCCAGAAAGGCCTTCTTTCCCAGGAAAAGAGACAGCACAATTGACCCACTTGAAATTCTCTTCCCAGTTCACTCTTGGCATTGGATTTGGCTTCAAACAATTGGACTTCTGTAAAGCAGCCAAAGCTCTAAAGCTGAAGGGACCCTGGGGCCCACTTTACATACAAATTTGATCTTTTCTTGGAGATGGGACCGAATTGATTTGCTGAGGCCAGGCCTGGTTGTGCTGCAGCAGGATCAGTTTCCAGAGCTGGGGTGTGACGGCCAATGAGACACCCCATTCCCTAGGTCGGTCGTCAGATAAGCACCCCCATTCACCAATGACAGGACTTCCCCAAATTTCTTTATTACTTGTTTGTACCTCAGAAGACATTTCTCCCTAGGAAAAAAAAGTGATGCTCTAGAGCTTAGCCCACACTTTACCCATCATGAGGGTGAAATACAGAATCTGTGTGATGAAAACCAGCAGAAAATAATTTTTTGCAAATGTATCTCAGGCTTCAGCAGTAGAGTTGACATTTATCAAGCTTAAATATCAAATGGCGGAAAGCATTGAGCATTGATAGAGCAAGACACCAGGTCCCTGAGGGTGACTATGGCAATGGTGAAAGTAACGTCATTCCTTTTTGTTTTCACACTTACCTACTATGACAACCTAAATGTCCAACAATAGTGGAATGGTTAAATAAATCATATGACATATCCACTTATTAGATTGCATAGAATCATAAAAATTGTTTTTGTGAAGAATATGTAATAACATGGAAAATGGTATGATTGTAACTGTCAAATATGCATTTTTGAAAGAGTAGAAAAAAATTGGACAATAAGATAGAGTCTATTAAGGTGGTGGAATAATAGTTATTTTTCCCTCTGTTTTCTACAGTCTATTAAGTTTTTTCTTAAATTACTGTTATAATTTAAAAAGGCATAAAAAGGCAAATTTAGGACCTGTGATATGCAAATAACCTATACAGTGATCTAGAATCCACTATACATAGTTTAAGGAAAATTTTTTCTTTAAATTTTAGTTTAAACGTAATGACTAGATCAGGCCAGCCAAACGTGATCTTGCCAATGATCATGACATTTCCACCAAATCTGAGTGGGAAGAGGCACAACTGGTTTGAATCCCAGGCAAGCTCTTATAACGTTGCTGTGAGACAGTTACTTAACCTCTCTTAAAATGACATAATAATGTCTATATTTTGAGGATGTAAGTAATAATAATAGTTATTATTACTGCAGTTGTAGATGTCATTATATTAAATGCTCAGTTATCAAAGAAGTTTTATTTTTTACAAATATTTACTATTTGTAAATACCAGTCACTCTACATAAACTATCTCTAACCATAACAACTCTCTGAGGTTAGTATTATTGTCTCGATTTTGAGGACAAAAGCCCAGAGAAGTTTAGTAACTTGCTCACTGTCACACGGTGGCTGAGCAAGGACTACAATCCTTTTTGATCTGACTTCAAAGCTTGAGTGAAATTAAAAGAGAGAAACATTTGCAAAGCTTCATGCTGACATATGGCAGGCATTTACTAGGTGGTCAACACGATGTTGGTGATCTTTTCCCCAGGACCCAGATGCTGGTCTTTGACTTATTTAATTATCTATAAATCTTTTTCTGTGAAAAAGAATTTCAACTGCAAGATGCAATACACACACACCACCTGTGTCCTCATTGATGGGGCTCTGAGTCACTAGGAAACGATTTCTGTTTCCTTCTGGCAGTGTCATTTGTTCTCACATGTATCAGCAGAAGTAGGTAGATGGCATGTTTGATGAGCCTTGGCAGCTACTGTCACGTCTCAGATACAC